ATACAATATTGATAGACCTTGGAAGTATAATATTACATTAAGTAAAAGAAGTCAGATACAAAGGCCACATATTGTATGATTTCATTTATATGAAATGTCGGGAAGAGGCAAATCCAGAGAGACAGAAAGTAGAATAATGGTTGCCAAGGACTTGGGTGACAGGAGTATGGAGAGTGACTGCTAATAGGTACAGGGTTTCTTCTTGAGGTGGTGATAAAAATGTTATAAAATTAGACAATGGTGATGGTTGCACAACTTTGTGAATATAATAAAAACCTCTTAATTTTACAGTTCAAAATTCTGAATTATATGGCATGCAAATTATAACTCAGTAAACTACTATAAAAAAGAAAGCATGCATGAATCTGATTGTTTATAAATTTAAAATAATCAATTAAATGTCTATATGCCAATAGCCTGCTAATTAATTATAACTTATAAGCTATAAAATCTAAGAAGTAATATACACTATTATGTTATAGTTAAACAAAATAAAATCCTTATATTCTGTAGTAGACACAAGCTCAAAACAATGGGCAAATAAAAATTAGATATCTCTTTCATCTACCATGTCCTACCTTAAACAATCAAGATTCCTTCCCTTTCTTGTTTTATAAAAAGTGAAACAACTCATCTCTATACCTGCATAAAGCATAAATTTTAGACTGTTTGCTGTCAGTTGGTTAGAAGCCTACAAATGTGGAGGGCTGCTCTGACGGAGTGGATAGATTTATAAAGAAGTCCAGTCTTTTTTCTGTCAGTTTTATCAGTAATAAAGTTAATATTTTCATCTCAATATCTTTAACTCCTATGTGTCTAATTCCAATTACAAGGGAAACATTTGTTAACTTCCTAAGACCTCACCATACATGAAAGTTCTTTATAAAACATAGATGCAATGTAGAAATAAAGTATTGCTGTGAAAATATTAGTTAATACATTTTCCTATTGATCTAGAGTAACAATTAAAAACAATTAAAAAGCAATTTCATTTTGTTTCTAGTTAATAAAGTAAGATTGTCTGACCAACCTACATACCTTTGGGTAGTATATTCAATGAAAACCTCTAACGATCAAAGAATATTACATTTTGAACACAGAATGATAACATTCATTACATAGGATGATAGATTTTTAAAAAATATTTTATTTATCTATTTTTAGAGAGAGGGGAAGGGAAGTAGAAAGAGAGAGAAACATCAATGTGTGGTTGCCTCTGGCATGCCCCCACTGGGGTCCTGGAATCAAACCAGCAACCCTTTGGTTCACAGGCCCGCACTCAATCCACTGAGCTACACCAGCCAGGGCAGGATGATAGATGTCTTTAAAAAATCAAATCATTAATCCATCAGGAGAAGTGTACAGATCAAGAGGCTTAGACTCTTGCCTAAAGGATTAAATCTAATTGATACTCAAAGAAATTACTATTAGAAATGGTTTAAGCTAAATACACAATGTTTAAAGAAAAAAAGTCTGCATGAAATTCTATGAAAATATTAAATTAATAAGAAATATGGAAGCTCTTTATTACATAAGCTTATTTGCAAATTATTATTCTAACACTTCCTCTTTTAAAAACGACATGGGGAGTATACCCCAAAAGGTACCCCTTTTTTAAAAAAGGAAGTACTGCTGATGCTTATCTAATCCAGTTTCTCTAAGCAGATGGTAAGGACCAAACAGTCAACTAAAGGGATAAAAATACATGTCCCACACCTCTACAATAAATGACATCTACAAAGGAAATAGAAGGGGTAATAGAAATATTCAAGTAAAATCCCCAAATTTAAATTTACTTTCTAAAGTCATAAAAAATTTAAATTATTCAACATAAATTTCCTAGGTAGAAGAAACAGTTCTCTAACATAAAATACTATAACCATAGTCCTAATCATCCAGAGGCTATGGCTATAATGAAACGAATTGTTCAAACTTGGTCTTTCAGCACTGTACTTTAAATGATTGTGGTGGCAATATAGTATAGTGGCTAAGAGCACAGGCTTGGAATTCTGGTCTTACTATTTACAAGCTATGTGACCTTGAAGAAATAATTTAATCTAAGACTCAGTTTCATCAACTATAGAATGGAACACATATATGGATGTGTAAGGGTTAATGTGATGGTAAGGGTTAAGTGATATAATGCCTATTAAAGTAGTTAAGAAAATCCCTGGCATAGAAAGTTCAGAACATAGTCATTTTTATTATTGGCTATATATGCCTTCTACTGCAAGCTGTTGCTTCTTAGGGCTTTCAAATCCACCCCAGACCTCCCAGGGAGATATACTTTTTTGACAATGTGGGCATATAATTATCATTAATGTTAATAATTAACGAATGACAATAATATTTACAGATGAAAATTTCAGAAAATCATGTTTTCACCCTGGCTGGGTAGTTCACTTAGTTAGAAAGTTGTCTGGCTAGTCCAAGGTTGCAGGTTCAATCTCCAGTTAGGGCACATACAAGCAACCAGTGAATGCATACATAAGTAGGACAACAAATGGATATTTCTCTCTGTGCCTCTCTAGCCCCTCTCTCTCTCTCTCTCTCTCTCTCTCTCTCTCTCTCTCTCTCTCTCAAATCAACAAATATTTTCTTAAAAAGGAAAGAAAGTCATGCCCTGACTGGTGTGGCCCAGTTGGTTGGGCATTGTCCCACAAAGCAAAAGGTCATGGGTTTGATTCCAGGTCAGGGCACACTCCTGGGTGGTAGATTCGATCCCTGGTCAGGGGCACATATGAGAGGCAATCAATTGATATCTCTCTCTCACATTGATGTTTCTCTCCCTCCTTCTCCCTTCCTTTCCCTCTAAAAATAAATAAAATCTTTTAAAAAGGAAGAAAATTATGTTTCCTATTTCTTTTGTGGTTTCTATTATCTTTACCTAGATATCTGTACTTTAACAACACCTTAATGAATAGAAAATGAGGAAATAAATGAACAAACTAATGAAAGACGGTACAAAGTTGGCACCCAATTCCCCGGCCCTGCTAAAGCAGTATGGTCTGAGTTTTATCTAGCATCCCCTGGCTCTGGCCTTCAGAACGTAGCTATGGTTATTCATACTCAAAGAAGAACTGCCTTTGCTGTGCTAAAATTGGAATTCCATCCTCATACTATTGAAGTTGGGACATCTTGCGAATTATAGTAAATTCAGAACTGAACTACCCCAATTAGAAAAGCTTTAAAACTCAATAAACCATCTGTAGAGTATTCATTCTATCCCTAACTGAATGTGATAGAATGAACACAGAACCCATGATCTTTAAAAGCAGCCTATTTATAATTGAACATTACCCAGATTAAATAGCCCAAGGAAATACTAGTACCAAAATAAATTTTTCACAATAATGAAAAGTAGAGAAATCCATTTGAGTTCTCTTAAGATCAGACAGATATTTTAGTACTTTCTTTTTATAATCAGGTGTTTGCTAAGCTAATTAATGACTACAATAATTTCTGAGATGAATTAAAAGGAAAGAAAAACAAGATTTACAAGGATAAATAATCTGACAAAACTAAAGTATAATTAAATAACAAAGGCTCTCTAATTGTCCTAAGGGGTAGCAAGGTCATAATAGTCACAACAATCCAACAAGAAATTCAACTGAATGGAATGGGTCTCTTCTGTTCTTTTAAATTCAGGTATAAATTACAAAGAAAAATATACCACAGAAAATTACACTTAAAGAAAATCTTCTTGAGCATTGTATAAAGGAAATATTTTCTTACCTGTTATTTGTAATAATACTCATTAGAGGGAAACCAGAATATGTGGTGATTTGCATTCGACAACATGATTGAATTTAAATACACATGTCATTTACTTTCTATGCTCAGGTTAGCAAGATAAAAATTTCATTTCCCATTTCCCAACACTAAAGTATAATACTTTAATTTGTAATCAGGTCCCTAACTGCTGTATATTTACAAAGTTCTGCTTCTACCTTACTGTTTCTTTAAGTATAGCTGACATACAATTTGATGTTAGTTTCAAGTGTGTAACATAGTGATTTCACATCTATGTACCTTGTGATGTGATCACCACAATAAGTCTAGTAATCATCTGTCACTGAACACAGATATGATATTATTGACTATATTCCCTATGCTGTATTTACATTCCTATGACTTATTTATTTCATAACTGGAAACCTGTACCTCTTATTCTTTCCTTTTCATCCATCCACTTCAGCTCCCTCACCTCTGGCAATCATCACTTTGTTCTCTGTATTTATGAGTCTGTTTCAACTTTGTTCATTTATTTTGTTCTCTAGATTTCACATATAAGTGAAATCATATGGTATTTGTCTTTCTTTGACTGATTTACTTTACTTAGCATAATACCCTCTAGGCCCTTCCTATTCTTGCAAATAGCAAGTTTCTTTCCTTGTTATGGCTAATATTCCATTGTGTACATGTACATCTTTATCCATTCATCTGTTGATGGACACCCAGGTCACTTACGTTATCTTGACTATTGTAAATGATGCTTGCAATGAACATAGGAAGTGTACCTATCTTTTACCTACTGTTTCTTAGGTTTACAACACAAAATACAGTTAGGATCAAAGCAATTTATCACACAATGAAGGTGTTGAGAAAATATTTTAACTTTGCAATTTACTTCTAGTAAACTATTCAAATTACTTATTTTAAACATTTTTTTTATTGTTCAAGTATACTTTTCTGCCTTTTCACCCCAACCCTCCCCACCACCCCAGACCTCCCCACCTCCCTCCCCTGTTCAAATTACTTCTTAAATCAGTACAGGATGACATCAGAAAACTACAAAATGCTACACGTCTTCTGAATTTTACTTAAAATTACCCACCTTTAGTCTAGAAAATCTGACTATAGTTTTTAATTATTCAAATTTTATATGATAAAAAGCTGGAGTATGTGAAACATCTGAAATTTAGAGATATCTGAAAGATTAATAGAAAATAAAAGAGAAAACCTCTGTATATTTAATATCTCTGTATTTTCTTACTTACTACATAAAATTGGAGAAGAGGGTGTTTGCAGAGTCAAAGTAGAGCCATCTTTCCTTGTGATATTAACTCGAAAAACCAATCTGGCACGAGTGCTTTTTTTCTTGGAACCAGCAATCCCTATTCTGGCTTCAACATCAGCATTTCTCAATTTCAATATCCCTACGCAGTCCACCCTACACACAGGAAAAAATACATTAACTAATATTTTCTGTTGTACATAAAATATAATTTTAATAAAAACAATTTTTTAAAAAAGTTACTTCCTTATTAATTTTTGAATATGTAATATAAGGTTCCAATTTCAGAAGGTAAGGAAGAGTAAATTCTGAATATTCCTAATTCCTAATCTTGTCAGCTTTTCATTTATAAAGGGAAAAAAACAGTAAAAATGTAAAATCACTATTTCAAAATCAGAATATAAGTAATGATTAACAAAAGATACTTTTGCTATTTTTTAATAAATAAATTTAGCCTATTTCTTTTGGCAATTAATTCAGGTACTAAAATAGAGGAAAATGGTTTTACTTTTAAAAATATTAGCAACTGTCCCCCAAAGAATGGAATACTATGTAGCCATTAAAAAGTAGACAATAGCCCTGGCTGGTGTGGCTCAGTGGATTGAGTACCAGCCTGCGAACAAAGAGGTCTCTGGTTCAATTCCCAGTCAGGGCACATGCCTGGGTTGTGAGCCAGGTTCCCAGCTAGGGGTGTGCAAGAGGCAACTGAACCTCTCCCATATTGATGTCTCTCTCTTTCTTCCTTCCCCTCTCTCTAAAGTAAATAAAAAAAATTTTAAAAATCGTTTTAAAAAGTGTATGATATAGGATAATATTTAATGTTACGAAAAAATGCTCATGATAAGTGAAAAGCAGGTTATGAAACAGTGGGTACAATATTAAATTTTATCAGAAAAAAGGATGGAAAGATAAATATCAAAATAGTGGTTACTTCTGGGAAGTTGGATTTTGAGGGGTACAGTTTTAGCTTTTTATGATTATTATTTTTTAATTATTCTATATTTTCAACTTACAAAGATTAGGTACTATTTTTATAATCAATTACTTCCTTTATTCCACTATATTTATTTATTTTTATAATTTTCAAACATTTAAAAATAAATCTTTACTAAATATTTTTTCAAAATTTTCTTTTCCGGTTAACCTCTTACTAACCTATACAAAATAGATTTCAAAAGGAAACTGAAAATCAACAAGAGAAAAGTCTTTAGCTATCCAATACAAATACAGGTATACCTTACAACACAGGTATATTCTGTATCAATATATTTGGTGCTGTTATGGTTCAATTTTAGCATTAAAGATCCTTAACAAAATGCTTAAGGAAAAAGAATTTTAATTCAAATCATTAACACTTCTAGTATTTTTCAGGCAGTTAAAGTACTTAAGATGAAAAATATATTATCCCAGGACATAATTTTTTTGTAATATAAGAAAATAAGAACAGAATGTATATTTAGACTAGCAATATGCTTTTCACATCAAGATGGTTCAAGGTACCATGAATGGTCTCTATTAAACAGTTTCTACTACAGTAAGAAAACAGAATTGAGGAAAGCAAATCAAATTGTAATTTTTATTTTTAATGTTAAAATTATTAATCCCAACAAATCATTCTGTATCATTTTCTGAAAAGCCAGCATTTCATCTGGCTTTATTTTTCTGCCTTTCACCACAGAAATTCTTTGACAAATGGTAAAAGAGTTCATTTTAACACATTATCATTCTGGGAAAATGTATTTTTTAATTCGTAATATTTAAAATACTTAAATAAGATACTCAATCTTCTATACATTGGGAATTTTAAAAAACTTCCATATATAAATCAATAAAATTTTTACTAATTACTTACGCTAGTGTCATGTTGTTGCTTGGATCAAGGCCAACTTCTATGACAGTAGTGCCTTCAATGTCCACTTCTTTGCAGGGGGTTGTATTTCGCCCAGTTACCCTGCAGGCCTGATAAAATCCATGTGGTTTCACTCGACCAGAGTCATTACCCACAAACACTTGCAATACCACTGGCTCATTATGGCCTTCCAGCTGAAGTGAGATAACATAAGCATAAACACTAATTAGCCTTTCAAATAATCTAATTGTAAAATCAAACATTTAATACCAAGTCTTATATTTATAACTGGGTTACAATAGAGAAATAATTTAAATTCTCAAGAAAAACAGAGGTGAAATATTTTCTTAAAGGAAAATTGGCTATTTCTACAGAAAATAAAGTTTCAGTTCTGCAATAATCACATTTAATTTCAATTTTAGATGTTTAATGATAAATTATCATTTATAATTAATATGTACACACAGATAAGAATGAATACACAGTCCTTTAGGTATTTATAAATGTATGGACTGCCAAAAGAGCATGTGAGTCACTCAGGATTTACCATAACCACTAATGGAAAATTCATTACACTGTGTTAGTGACATCATTATTGTTATCATTTAATGAGTACCTATACTAAATTTTTACTCTTTTAAGGCTATTTGAGTAGAAAAGTGTATGGAGTATAGCTATATAAATCATTTTAAAAAATGGTGTTCATTTTCATAGACTAGATACACACATATGACACTATTAAGTCCTAGACCAAAACATTATGGTCTTAAAAACTGCTAAATTGAAACAGGACCTATATGGATTATAACAGGTGTCTAGTAAGTCTTCATAAATTAAATTATAACTTGTATGCTGAAGAATAAATAAACATTTAAAATAGCATTTGGGAACAAATGTTTCCCATGCTGATTTTTGATAAGGTTTATAATTAAACATTGAAGCTGCTAATATAGAATGCAGAAAATCACAAAGTAACTTGTACAATGTATACCAAAATAGTTGGGAAAAACTCATACATCTTTTCTATCCCAGTATAGCTATATCTCTGTGATATGATATCATAATGAGGCAAATAAGCAATCTACCCAAACTCAGTCAGCAGTACTTAGAACAGTGTCTAGCATATAGAGGGGTGCAGTATTTGTTGAATGAATAAACTTTTTTTTAAAAAGATTTTACTTATTTATTTTTAGAGAGAGAGGGTGGGAGAAAGAGGGAGAGAAACATAAATGAGTGAGAGAAACAATGATTGGTTGCCTCTTGCACACCTCCAACCAGGCATCTAGCAAACAAACCTTTAGGCATGTGTTCTGACTGGGAATCAAACCAGACACCTTTTGGTTTGCAGGAGGAAGCTCAACCCACTGAGGCACACCAGTTGGCTGAATAAATAAACTTTCAAGGTCAGTCAATTCACTCCCTATCACAGGTAATTATCTAACAATACTTGTGACCAGATGAGTACTTAGATATAGTACTTTAACTATAGCAAAAAGTTTTAAGAGCAATTAGGTAAAAAATATTAACCAAACTATCAACATGTCTAGTTAGACAAATATTTACAAAAAGCATAATTTCTCACTTGTCTGTTACTTGTTTTAAGTTTAAGGGACTGAGGATGAGTTGATGTGGTGAGTGGTAGAGGGGTAGATATGATATAGTACATGTGACTATTAACCAACCTTATAAATGGTCACAAGTAAATTTCCTGATTCCAAGTTTCTAGCATTATTTCACCCAAATATAAAATGAAAGGCAGTCCAACTAAATATTGTTCAAATAACACACTTACACAAACTATTTATCAAGAATCTATTATGTAACTAGCCAAAATTCCTCTCTATTTGGTATGGGGTTAGAACATTTGTTAAACATCCTCTACCCCCTTTTTTTTGTTTGTCTTCAAAGAGAAACATACTTTGTAACAAGGTATCCCAGGTGCTAAACTTAAGCTCCCTTTTTCTTTAGTCTAAATTCTGAAAAGATAAAGACTCAGTTGATATCCTAGTCCTTAAATTGAAGACTTATGTTACCTATCAACCAATGCTTTTCTGAGTTGAACAGTCCTAATTATGTTAGCCATTTCAAAAACCTTCTTTTCACTCTGGCTGGTGTGGCTCAGTGGACTGAGTGCCAGCCTGCAAACCAAAGGACTGCAGGTTTGATTCCCATCAGGGCACATGCCTGGTTCTGGCCCAGGTCCCCAGTTGGGGGCATGTGAGAGGCAACTCATCAGTGTATGTCTCACACAATGAAGTTTCTCTCCCTCTCTTTCTCTCCCACTTCCCCTCTTTCTGAAAATAAAATCTTTTAAAAAACATACCTTATTTTCTAAGTCCATAATAATTTCTGAAATACGTCTTTGAATTCACTTTAAAATTTCTTCTTAAGTATAAAATTTGGGAAGAAATTTTATACTTATATTCTAATATGGCCATTACTGATATCAAATATAAGAGAAAGATAAGTCATAATTTCCAGATTTTTAAAATCAGAACACATTCTCATCTCTCCTTTCATTTAATCTAAAATTCAAATGATATTAAAGTAACAATATTTGGCTTATAGTTCAGACTTTTACTTAATTTCTATTACATATAGCTAGCAAGTCTATCCTATTTCAAGCAGCTTTTGATGGTTAAAAACAAAATAATGAATAAGTAAAACTGTAGTAAATTCTTCTATATATTGCTAAATAAAAAAGTACCTTTACTGTAGGAAAACCTTGCTGTGTTCTGTCCTTTACTGAGCCACGGCTACCCTCAGTCAGGTATCGAGCTCTATGCTGGGTCTCAGGTTGTATAATTATCTTCAGCTCCTTTCCCTCACTTTTAACAGGATACTGTCCACATAACATAGGGCTTTTCTTTACTCCAGTTCCTTTTTGGTTTTCCAATGTTCTGAGAAGTAAAAGCACAACATGGAAAAAGTATTAAAAAGTGTTATTTTTTACAAAAGTCATCTAAGATAAAGGAGGACACAGAATTGGCAGTAACATTAAAAACAACTGATTATCTTACTGACAAAATCGATAATAGTCTAAGGGAAGATAGATTCCATAACAAAGTATACTTTTAAATTTTGTAATAAAATTTAACTAATGATGCAAAAGTAAAAGAAAGACAGGGAAGACAAAGAATGCATATGTGTAGTAGGAGGAAGGAACAGTGAATGCAATAAACTGGAAAGAGCAGGAAAGAATATAGCTAATGCCACTTCCAACCTTCCACACTATACTTCAGTCAAAATAAATTTTTTAAATTACATATATATGTGAGTGTTATACAAAACTACAAGATTAACTACCACTATTCGTTACAAAGCCAACAACAACAACAAAAAAGAAAGTAGGGATAGCAATAAAAGAAACAAGCAAACAAAAGGCCTTAAAAAACCACCAAAGACACATGTAGAATATTCTTTTGATAGTTTTCTCAGGACAGCAAACTGAAAAAATTGTAATCTAAAAAATCAGTGATTTAATGTTTGTTGGTAATTAGCTTTACTCCAAACAATTTTTCCCAGAAGTATGATTTTCACAGTATTTTTATTTGTGATTAGTTAAATAATTAAAGCTTTTTAAATAATTTTTTTTATTTTAATCATTGTTCAAGTACAGTTTTCTCCCTTTTACTCCCAATCCAGCCCACCATAATTAAAGCTCTTAGCACATAAAAATTTTATAATCTGGGCTTTACAGATAAGGCAATCTAACTTATTTTTAAAAACTGTGTTTCTAATATTTATTTTGTTTATCATTCTTTTTCTATGTGGAACACAGATTCAAAGAAAAATATTTCAAATGGTGTAAAACTTCGGTAAATACCTTTAATCTGAAGTACTGCAAATATATGATAAATATAAATAGAAAACAATATTCTTGGTTTTCAAATAGTTTGAAATTATCCATGCACATTTAAAAATAGAGTCAGGGCCTGTGATGCTTTCTGTACAACCCTCCCAGTCCTAAGTTTACACTCACATTGATGGTACAGAAGCCAAGAGATGACTGTGGACAAAATTTCCTCCAAACACAAACAGGCCTCAGGAGGAATATTATGACTTCAAACATAGAGGAGCAATGGTGGCTAAGCAGCCTTAAAACTGGCTCTAACCAAGCTGTTGCCTCAAATTATCAAATAACAAAACCAGTCCTGGTTCCACTGAGAGCACAACGTATGGCTAAGAAAAGGGCAGAAGAATGGAGGAAAGAAGGGGTACAAAGGAATGTAGTAAGACTGACTGGATAAGAGGAAGAGTTTTGAGAAAAAGTAGGGTTCAGTCATCTTCATATTCCCTGCACAATCCTTAAAGAGTAGGTGCTGAAAAAAAATTTGTTGATAAAGGCAAATAGGAAGAAGAAAGGGACAAAGAAAGGAGAGGAAAAAAGGAGCTTCTGTAATAGTAAGATGAGAAAGTACTGGATCCTAACTGGCCAAGGCATTCCATAATTAAGTCAGATTACCTGAGTAAATCATTTAAAAGACCCTGGAAGAACAGATTTTATGAACAAAAGTATCAAGTTGAAGCTGGACAATTAATTCTACTTTTCATCATTCTGGATAGAAATGCAAACATCTGCTCTGAATATAATGTGCATTCTTATGAAATTCTATAATGATATTCTGTTGTTTACTCATTTTTAAATGAAAGCAAAAATATCCACTTACTGAAACTAATGTAAAAACATCTTTCAAATATGAACTGAAAGGGAGTAACAGCAGTTGTACTGAGTGACTAGATTATGGATTATTTATTTTCTTCTATTTCTGTATTTTTCAAATATTTTAAAATTAATATCTATTAATTTTATAATAGAAAAAGGAACACTTTAGCTTAAAATATAAGGAAAATTTAGCATATCAATCAATTTGGCAAGATAATAGTTTTTATATTCATATACTATTTTTTAAGCTAATATTTATGAGAACGGTTGATAATGAGTTTTATTATTTAAGTGAAAAAAGATCTCATTTTGGATGAAGACTATTCAGTGAGTTGAAAAAGTATACACATTGGGACTTAAGGAAGAATAGCAATGTAAACTATGAAATGCTACTTTAAAAAAGTCCTTAAAATTATCTCTATTCTCTAGGTTTAAATGTAAAAATAGAATACATAAATATTTATCTCTCTAGACATGTAAAATTATTGAAAACAACTAATTCTTAGTCATTCAAATTACTAATTTTTAAGGCATAATAGCTTAAGAGGAAAATAAGAAAGTAGCACTTTAATTGTATGGATTTTACTTCTAAATGACATCTAAAAAGAAAACCAATTTTCTTGGCATATTCTATTCAGGAGTCTTAAAATGACATTCTAAGTCCTTTGCACTGCATATCCTTCCAGTTGTTTGTAGTACAAAAATAATTTTCACTATAAAATGCCTAAAACAGGATTCACATCCAGATAACATAATATCTTAGTTTCTACGGCTACCTCTAAGAGATATAAAGCTACTAGTTCTCAGGACACTTAGTTGAAGAATTTAAGAATGATATGGCTAGGGATGTTTAAATACTGAGTAGTTTTTTTTTTAATGGTTTTGTTTTTTAAATAAACTTTTACATAACATTTTAATTATACAAAAATGCTATGCCCATTTTACAGATCAACGAACTGTTATACTACAATATATTTGAGAATATATTTTCTGTAATTTAGCATTATATAAATTATAAGTTTATAGCACATTACATTTAAGACTTCATACCTTAGCTCTCGAAACATTTTTAAATATCTTTCATGTTTTTAACATTTCTCCCATTGAAGAATTTAGGACTTTGGCTTGATATCATCTTAATAATTGTCTTCAAAGGCCTATTTTCTATATATTTATGTATGGTTTTATCCTTTCCTTGATATAGTTCTTAATAATTCAAAATTTAAACTTCTTCCATCATTTCCATATGCTAAAATAAAATATTTTTCATTACTTAAGAAGCTGAACATTTCTTCTGCTTGATGAGTTTTTGTTCCATGAATTATTTATGAGAGATTTTTGTCTTGACAAACATTATTATACTTTCCCTGGGTAACCTCAAATCATTTCTAAGGTCTACCATACAAAAAGATATCTATTATATAAAAGGAGAAGCAGAAAAGATGTAGATCAAGATGTCTCTTTAATAGCAACTGAAAACCATGTGTGTTGATTAAGTCAAAAATTTTATTTTTTTATTTGAAACTTTTACATTTATTTCAGTATAAAAATAAGTCTCTAGAACTTAAAAAAAAATCTTTTCCTATTGAAGGTCAAATAAACATATACCTGTACTTAATGATAGATATACATGAGCCTTTTAGATCTGTACTACTATGTTTCTGAGCATTTTTATATAGGTTAACAGTTTTGCAAATATATTCTGTAACTCTTGAATCCACTAATGGCAACATTTTTTAAAAGGGTATACTTTGTTTTCTTTTAGAATTTCCTAATCTGGACTTTCTGAAAATAAAACATAGTTAAATGTGCATTTTCACTGAACTGCATCACCCTAAAGGAGTTTTAAATAAGACTAGAGAAGCAAGTAGTATAGAGTAATTACAGCTTAACTTGTAGATATTACTTTAAAAATGTATTGAGAAGATATTTAAGGACAAGCTTAATATACATTAAAAATACTCATTATACTATTCAAAAAGATATCAATGATATCATCATGTAGTAAACCAATCAAGAGATTCTCCATCACTTTTTGTGACAACCTGAAATTGTAGATCATGGGTCAAACTGAAGGACCATTCCTTGCCTCCCCCCAAAAAATCTCTCAAAATCCAGTGTGTTAAATTTTATCAAACTATATTTAATATACTATAGGAAATTTTAATTAAAAAGTCTAGCAATTAAATATTACAATAAAAGTACTAAAGGGATTAAAAAGTTAAAAATAATTCACAGTATTCTGTACTATATAGCAGTAAATATTCTGTAATATAGTTACAGAAATATATTTAGTGAGTATTGTGAGCTGGCAGAAATGAATGAAAACTCAAACATGTACCATGATCCTGTTCTATCACCCTTCAAATACATAACCCAGAATTTCAGGGAAAAAATTATGTATTTTTAAAAATCCCAAATCAATGTGATGTATCAAAGCTTAAAATAAATGCATAAATCTAAATTGTGAAAATCAAGCCATCAATTTAGTTTTTCCTTATTCCATGAAATAAAAAAAGTCTAAAATCCTCACAAAAATGGAAATGGATTGAACCATATGTAGAGACAATGTGAAAGAGAATAAACCAGTCCTTTGTGAACATTTTGAGTTGTTTTAGCTATAGGGACATTACATGCTAGTTATTTTTAAAATATAAATCTCTTTGAAATTTAAGTTATTTCAAAACAGATTATTGTTTTATACTATTTAATCATACCCACAATAAGATACCTATTGCTAAAATCTATTGATTTTTTTTTCTCTAGTGAAACTTAGTAATTTTAAGTTAAAATTTTCAGGTATTTCAATGATAAAATTAGTATCTTTGCTTTATATGCAAACTTGAGCTGAGCAATTAAGGAATGATTTTGTTTGTTTGTTTTGCATAATGGTGATAGAACTTAAAAAATGTGAATACCAACCCATTTCCTGCTTTTGAGTTGCCTTTGTTGTCCGTGGTAAGCTGAGAAAGCACATAGTGAGGTGCTTTGGCACTGTCGGCATCAAATATATCCATATTAGATTCTTCACAATCTCGTCGTTTGACCCCCGGCCTCTGCTTTGGATTTCGTTTTCGTGATTTACGAGGTACCTCAGTGTTATCATTGTAGGAACTGGTGCTCATGTTACTGAAGTTGGAGGGGGAATCCTCCATCCACATACTGCAGCTCTGCTCAGATTCCAATCCACACCCCTCATCCTGGCAGGACATCCGACTGTTATCCAGCAAGTCCTCAGGTGGTGGTGAGATGTACAAGACTGTGTGCCTCTTCGGTGTTGATGGATGCTGCTGAACTGTGTTACTGGTTAACTGCTTTTCACTTACCCCTCTGTTACTTACCCCCAAGGCTGAGGAGCAGCTCTCCACTTGCATAGCCTTGCTGTCGGTGACTGAGGTAGAATAAATGGTAGGGCTGGAAGAGGTGGTAAAGGAGCTGCAAGCACCGCCCATGGAGGAAGAGGAGGGAGCTGAAGAAGCATCTGCAGTGTACAATTTAAAAGTAAATACACTGTACATGTTTTCACCTATGCTGGCTAGCAGTCCCATTGAAAATGTAATTTGTGAACTGATTGTTTTTCCCCAAAATGAATAGTTGAAATTTGGTTAAGTTTTATAATACAAATGCTTCAAGCAATACAAGGCCTAAGAAATTCATTTTTTAAAAAATGCCCAAATAGCATAATGTTACTTGTGTTATAATTGATAGATTTAAAAAAAAATCTAAATTAATGTTTTAAGCTGTAAAGCAAGAATAAAGTTTTTATTGCCTCAGCTGGATGTTCGGTTGAATTTTAATCATTTAAAATAATAAAGAAAGCCCCAATATAAAATATATGCTTGTGGTCCACATTCAAAGCCAATTAAATAATTTATTATAGAATTTGAAAAGTGGGACTGTGCTTAGCCACAAAATATTAAAATAAGTTTCTAACCTATGAAGCAGAGAACTACAGGTCATTTTTAATGCAGACACTCCCTGCTTCAGAGGCAAATCCTGGAATAAAAATATGAGAAAATAAATGAGAAAAGAGCTGCTGATTATTCCAGATATCAATTATAAAATGAGAAATAAAGAGAAAAATATATATAATCAACTGAATTGGAGGCAAATGGAACTGGTACCATCACTAAGATTCTTGTCAGTATGATCTAGAAGAATAAAAGTGAAAAAGGTTTGATTTGGAACATGCTGGGCTGCAGAAGATAAGCAGTTAACCACTGAGGGTCTCTAGAAGTTAAAGTGGCAGGTCAATACCATGATCTCTAAGATAAATAAATCCATCCTAAATGGCAGAATGAAAAGCAGAGTAAAGACTGATTATTGGATGGATTTCTTGTACAAAGTACTTAATTATACTCAGCCACTGGTTACCACTGTTCATTTCCTTTCTCTTTAAAGGGCCTGCTTGATTTGAACTATTAAAGGAATTTCCTAATATGAGTAATAGTAAATTTTATTGGCTGGAATCTAACAACAAAGAATTAAGCAGGAAAAGTCTCTGGAGATCACCAGAATTAGTTCCTATAAAAAGATCTTTTATAAAACCACTTATCTATTATGCTTGGCAAGAAAGATTTAAGTAGATCCTTTCAAATATGTGGCAACTGGCAGAACAGCTCGCTGAAAAATAAACAGGTAACACACAACTAAAAGGTATGTTTAAATCTAAAATTAATTTTTATAGCCAAGTATGCCACTGTTTTAAGTAGCATGATGAAACTTAAAATTGTGATATGCAATTACTGAAATTGTAACATTCATATCAACTATAAAATATAAACAGTGAAATGTAAGAATGCCTATGCATAGATAATCAAAAGCCATGTGCCAAAGATCTATTTTTTAAATGAAAACATGTACCAAAATACTTAGATCATTCAAAAGAACTAAATTCACTCATAATTTTTCCTTATTTTTAAGACTAAAGAGCACCATAATTAGTATTATCATCAATAATGTGATCTACTTAATGCCCCTTGGAGAGATTATTCTCAACTATCATAAGTCAAAGAACCTACAACAATTAGAAGATACCAGTTCCATTTTCCAGTTTGTAGCTTTGTCAAATTCAGTAGCTGAAATTGGAAAATTCAGTCACTTTAAACTGCATTCCAATTTAAAGAAAAATTTATCAATTTTGTATCATGCATTAATGCAATGTTTTCTTAGTAAATATTTTAAAAGATTTATAAAAACTACAAAATCTAGATGCTAATGTCAGTGACAGTTTAGGAGCTGATTTGTAGCCACTTTGGGTTTAAATAACAAGTTTTTTCCTTGCTTTTTGAAAAACACAATAGAATTCATTTTAGAAAAAAATAGAAAAGGTATTATGTTTGATATTGCTCCATCTGTTCCAACTATTGGCAAAAATGAAACTAAATTTTTATGTGTATATGAGCCCATGTTCTTTATTTTCAAAGAAATACAAGTATGCAGTATGCAATATTTGTAGTGGAACACACAAAGCATGCAGCAGGAATGCTGTGAACTTGTATTTCTATAAACAGTTTTCATCCACCCATGCTCTTTGAATCTAAGTACCATGCACATGAGAATGTAGAATATGAACATCGCAGGGATCCCTGTCCTTGACAGGTGGAAAGTACAGGTGAAAAGCAATTAGGCACTCAAAAGCAACTTATGTGGTGTTTATAAATTTAATCTGCAAGATATAACCATGTATTGCTATTTGAGGTATACTACATGAGTTTATCTTGCAAATATTATCAAAACAATCATGTTTATAAAACCCAATTTATATATTCATGCAAAAATGTCTGTTCTGGGACAGGTATGCCAAACTGTGATCTCATACCCTACATAAATTAAAATATTCTACACATTTTCCTTAACACCTAACACATAATTTTAATATTTTACCTGTAGATTCCTGGACATAGTTATTAAGTAAAAAAGTTCATTAGCACAAAACTATGAAACTGAAAACATAAATTCTGTCAAAGGACAGGAGTAGTAAGCACCCTTTAATTAAAAGGTACTATTAGTTTTTAAAGCCTACCTCATTTTGGCCCTAAACTACAAAGATTCTACTCATTTTAAGACTACAAAAATGAGACAATTTTTTAAAACTATAAAACTCTTTACCACAGTATCATTGTTGCTCTGATGATGATTATAATGGTGTTTAAAATCTTTCACATAAAGATGTTATATTCTGGTTAGCAAGACATCACCTAAGTGTATTAATAATGACAGGTGAGGTGGAGGGAAGATAAGACTATGAGCCCCTTGAAAGCATGGACAGTATTCTTCCCATCTGAGACCTTTCCAACACTTATATCGTGCCTTGTATGTTATTTGTTATTAAATTAATTTATGAGAAGCCAATATTTGATATGGGTGCTGAGTTATAGTAAATTTGCAAATAAATGTACTAATGTGTCCATAATGGACACATGATGTTTATTAAAAAAAGGATTTAATATTCAAAATCCTTAAACTATATATTACCATAATAGTATTATCTGATAGTGGGAAAAGGTTTAAAAGTAACTTAAGAATTTAGAGGTAACATTCACCATTTCTACACAGAGTGCTCTAATAATTTTCTTTCTTGAAACTATATATAAGCTAAATTACCTACTTGGGCACTAACCTATAAATGTACTAAGAATAAAATATCTTTAATATTAGCTATTAAAAATAAAGGCATAACAACAATATCAAGAACATTTTAGATTTTTAAACATTAGTTTGTCATTTCTAAGCATTCCCAGAAAAGCACTAAAGAACATTCCTGGAAATGTTATAAATATACTTAAGGTCACTATATGATTAAATAGCAAGAAAAAACTTAATTGACATTTTGTTGAACAAAAAATGCTAATGCAATCCTGCTTCATGTATATATTCTTTTTTATTTATAAGTTCTTATAAACAAATTATGCCTAATTACCTCCCCTTTGTTTGGTTTTGAGTCCCCATTTTTATCTATTAGGAATGTAGATATTATGTTTAATTGCTGCATATCAAAATATTAAAACTCCAACAAAAAATGTTTTAGTAACTGCTTGTATTATCTCACTAATTATAATGTATTTATTTTATAACTTTATAATTGCATTTATTCTTAAATCCCTTATGAATCCTTCATAAAGACTGAAGTTTTTCTTAAAATTTTAAACTTATTCTTTCACCTAAGTAATGTATGAATACATTTTTATTATATTTTCATGAAAAAGTTATCTTTGAACCTAGAAAAATTTTATTTTTCCACAGTAATTTCTGTGAACACAGAGAGCACAGCAAACCAAAGGGAAAAAAATAAACTATTTCTACAATTTACTAACATGAATTTATACTCTCAAAAGAATGGATTATTTCTAAAATTTATAAATGAAGAGAAACATCACATCTATAGTGTTCTAATAATTCTATTATTAAGAATAGCCAATTACTAGATAAAATGCCAGTAATGATGATGAACTCAAGTTGGACATATGGCTTCTTTTAAGAAAATGGATTTGTTAAGGTTTATTACAAATAGTCAAAGCAGTTGAAATAAAAAGAGTGGCAGACAATATCTACATGGATAACCCAGGATTTGCAAATACTGTTAATTTGATTAGAAAGACAAAAATGGATTTTTAAATGGTACCACATATAGAAACCCATGTAGATTTTATATACTCCTTGCTTAAACTGTATTTTAAAATTAAGAATTATTAGCTATAGATTTGTGAAGTATAAATTATTTTAATTACTGTATCATTTTAGTGTTTAACATACCATAAAAAAGAGATGATACTTTATATGGAACTAACCAAACTTTTTATAGAAAGCTTTGAAATTAGAAACATTCTTTAGAATTCTCAGAAGGAACAAATACCTTTTACTGATTTAAAATACATGACAGAAATTACAGTTAACTAAGCTTCCAAAATAAAAATATGTTCCCTAGATTTTCAACGTCAGTGTAAAAATCAGTCAATTTTCCTAAGAAAGCCATTGAAAACAAAAGCCATAAAGTTTTGCAAGTGTACTGAGTGAACCAATAGTGGAACGGAGAAGGAGTAAATCACTGACTGCTCAGAAAATGATCATAAAAAGCAACACAGGGTGTTTGGAAACAACTTCCGGTCTAAAAAAAAACACTGTTTAACCAAAGTTACTGTTTTTAAATATTTCATTTTTTCCTTCTGGTAACAATAGCTTCAGATCTAAGTATCTTGTCTGATAAAAGTCACCAGATACAAGGATATATTTTCACATCAAAGAAGAAAGATATTTAGAGAAAAAAATTATAAGGCCAACATTAATGATGCCAAGGGATTGAAAAATCTAGGACACACAAAGTGGCTGCAAACCTGCTTTTGTCAACACCTTACATGCCAACCTTCATTTTCTACTTTTCTTCTTCTTACAGTTTTAATGTAAAGTTTAAAACTTTACCAAAAGTTTCAATCAGTATCAATCCACTATTTAGAAACAAAAAAATAAAAACAAAAACAAAAA